AAAAAAAAAAAAAAAAAACCACAAAAGTAATACATGCTTATTATAAAAATGGAAGCAATATAGTAGTACATAAAGTAAAATGTTAAATTTCCCTGAAATTGTAGTTGCCAGTGACAGTTTGGTCTGTCCTCTCTCTCTGTTTCCTTGCATCTTCAGTTTATATACAGAGACACATGGCTACGGCTTTTTTGGGGTGCACGGGTTGTATTTTCTTTCTTTTCTTTTCCTTTCTTTCTTTTCCTTCCTTCCTTCCTCTTTCTTTCTTTCCTTCCTTCTTTCTTTTTCTTTCTTTTTTCTCTTTCTTTCTCTCTTTCTCTCTCTCTCTCTTTCTTTCTTTCTTTCTTTCTTTCTTTCTTTCTTTCTTTCTTTCTTTCTTTCTTTTTCTTTCTTTCTCTTTTCTCTCTTTTTTGAGCTTCCATATCCAGTAGGGATTATATTTTTTTCTAAGATGAGATTGTGTTAAGCTGTTCTATTGCTTCCTTTCCCTCCTAGCAATATGTCCAGATCCTTCCAGATCAGGAAACAACAGATCGACCTCTTTAATCTTTTTAACAACCACAGAGCATTCCATAGTAGGACTAGAATTTCTGTATCAACTGGATTGACATTTTTTCAGAAGTACTTTATTCATTCCAGAGGGAGAAGAGAGGAAATAATGGCAGGAAGTCACAGCAGCCCAGAAATGGCCCCTTCCATCCAAAGGCAGGCTGTGACCTCATGGGAACTTTGCAGGTACCTCCCTTGATTTCCTATGGGTTCCTCAGGTCACCCATCAGGCGTGAGCTGCCCCAGGACAGGTTTAACAGCAGGAAGAGCTGGGGTAGCTCAGATGGGCTCTGAATCACACTGCTGGGCTGGAATCTTAGCTCCCCCAACCACAGGGGTAGCCCCTGAGCCAGTCCCTTTGCTTCCCTGAACCTCAGTCTTCTCATCTGTGAAACGGGGATGATGGGAGCACATGCCTCCTGGTTTGTTGGAAGGATTCAGTTAGATAAGGTGTGATTGCTCGTCCTCCAGGGTGGACCCCATTGCCATAAATGCCATGAGGCCACCTTGTTACTCAGGCCACGCCTCAGATTCATCCTTGACTCTCCTCCTCCTCTCACAGCCACACCTAATCCAGTGGCAGGGGCTGCCACCTCTGCCCTCCCGCCATGGCTGTCCTGGACCGCTTCCTGGTTACCCTCACCTCCACCCTCACTCCCTCAGTCTGCTCTCCACATGCAGACAGAGGGAGCCTGTTAGAAGCTTACATCAAAGCCCTTTCCTTCGCTGCTCAGGCCCTCTGGTGGCTTCTCTTCTGGCTCAGAGTAAAAACCAAACCTGGCCGGACGCAGTGGCTCACACCTGTAATCCCAGCATTTTGGGAGGCTGAAGTGGGTGGATCACTTGAGGTCAGGAGCTTGAGACCAGCCTGGCCAACATGGTGAAACCCCATCTCTACTAAAAATACAAAAA